GACTCTGTTCCCGCTGCTGTGGTAGTTTCAACAACAGACTCTGCTCCCGCTGCTGTAGCAGCATCTACAACAGACTCTGCTTCACCACCCAAAAGCACTTCCAGCAGCTCCCTAATTCCGAGGAATGCAAGGGGCCCAACTGCGGCCAGGCCAGCTGAGCAGATCCTCACAGAGGTCAGCAGCTCCCCCAGTCAGGAGGAGGCAGCTCCTGACCCCACGAGCGGCCTCCCCTCCCTGGTATCAGTAACTGCCTCCCCAGGCTTTCTCCAAGAGCTCCATAGCCATTCCTCAGTCTCTAGCTTCACGAGCAAAGGTGAAACAGATGGGAAGCACTACACAGCAGCCCACACTGGCTTTCCCCAGGAAGGACTCTTCAACCAGCCTACTAGCGACTATTTGACTGGAGCAACAGCAGATCCAGAGGCCAGCAACCATTATATTCCCTCCCTTTCTGCTGGCCCTGGGGAAGGCACAGCACAGACAAACCTCCCCCAGGCAAACTCCACAAAGACCAAYGCTCAGCTAGACCCTGCCTTCACCAGGACGCTGATCCACTATGTAGATGATTATGACTACGATGATCAGATGACAGAAACCCCAGCACAACCAGCATACATCTCCTGTGACTACAACCCCTGCAGGCACCTGCAGAAGCCATGCAGTGAGCTCCAGAGTGCATCCCAGTGTTTGTGTCCAGGCATTTCCAGAGAAGATGAGGTTCCAGACCCGCCAAGACTCAGAGACGTGTCTGAGGTCACAGACAGCTCTGCACAGATACACTGGTGCGCTCCAAATTCAGTTGTTCATACCTACCAGCTGATGCTTCATGCCCAAGGCAGTGARGAGGAGCAGGTTGTCCTGGACAATATTTATTCCACAGCACGGCAGTACACCCTGTATAACCTACTACCATACACCACTTACCACATCTGCGTGACTGCTTTAAACAAAGCGGGATCAAGCCAGACAGCAAGTCAGGAAGTTTCAAGTAATCCATGCACCAAGTTTAAAACAAAGCTGAGCTACAAGTCTATCTTTGCTGCTCTGGCTGCAGCAAGTGGACTCTTTCTCATTTCCACTATTGTATTGTCTATATGTCTCTGTAAGGCACAGAAAAAGCCTCCCAGTGAGCAATTTGGTACACACCTAGTCTCTTATAAGAACCCAGCATTTGATTATCCCTTAAAACTGCAAACAACCAACTAGCAAATGCTATACACGTTCAAACTCACTGTCTTTATCACTCTGGCATTATTTCCCTGAGACTCTCAAAGTGTTCTTCAGCAAAAGCAGGAAACAGCAGACCTTATTAGGGAAAGAAATACAGAAGGAAAGGAAAAAAAAATGAAGGTAGCTGAACAAAAAGAAGACTTTGGGCTCCTGTTCATGAGCTAAGTAGTAGCAAACTTGGACACTAATGTTGCAAAGCTACCTTTATAATTATCTGCAAATAGACTACTGGACATTTCACACAGTGAGACATCTTGCCAGCTGTCCGCCTCCAGAAGCTTTTATGGATAATCTGTACATAACCATAATCCAGGGCTCATCTATCCAACAAGATGAACAGCAACTCCACTCTTGTCAGAAAACAATCGGTGTCTGAGTTCTTTTAATGCCTATATAAAGGTATCACCAAGAAAGACAGGATGACTGGAAAGAGCAAAAGAAAGAAGTGCTTGAGCTCAGCTGCACGGTGCTGCACACATCTAACTGCAATAAATAACACCTGCAGGATCACAACGGCTCAGCCCACCTGCCGATCATGAAGAAKAAACATCAAAAATACGTTCACATACAGAGAGCAAGACCCTGCAGGATCCTTAAGGCAAGGATAATTGTTCTGTTGTGACTTCATACGAGGTCCTCCACAACAGAGGCGCCTACACTCTACCGCAGCAGCAGTGACGGGCAGTGAGCAGGTAGCGAGGAGACTGAAATACAGCAGTAACCCACAGAAGGGGGAAGTATGTTCACATTTGCTTCACAACAGATTTTGAATGGACTCCTCAATTCCATCCATAGATTTAGCAAGCAGATGATTTACCTCATGTAGAGGTAAAGAACAAAATAATGAAGTATTTTAATGCGTATGTTGCTGTGACTCGAAAAACTGAAATCCCATCCACTAACAGCAGAGATTTTTATGTATTTATGCAAAGATTTTTCAGATATACCTTTGGGTGCTAATTTGTGCTACAAAGATTATAACAGATGCTGAGAATCCAAGCTTTTCAGCAGCTTTGGGAGATTAGAGCTCTGAGAGCTGTTTTTATAAGAGRAGGAGTTTTTCCTAATCAAATATTTCCCTTTAATTATCACTGCTCAGAGTCCCCTATGTTTATAGTTCCAGCAACTGCATGTTTCTGCTGCTGTATAGATACAACCTGTAAATTCCCTCCAGATCTGCAAGAATGAAGGGTGCTATACAGTGTAAAAGAGTTTCTGTTCTCTGTCAGTTATTTTTAATGTCTCCCCCTATTAATGGAAATAAAAACTACAGAGTAAGATCTACAGACTGGTTCTTTATTAAGAATCTTGACCCTTTGCGTTGACTTTATCAACTACAGGGTTTCCCCAGAGAAATGAACTCCATCACTTTGTTGTTTTGGAGACTTAAGGATACAGTAAAGCATAATTTTTATTATGGGAAATTTGTGTTATTTTATGTCATGATAGTTTTCATCCTGCGTGCGCCTGGAGTGGGGCCCCCATGCTTTCCCCTGAGGGCGTGCAGCCCCCTCACACAAGCCCTGTCTTTCCCTACACCAGTGCTGGGGATGACWCATCTTCACAGAGGTGCCCGAGGCAACTCCTGCACCCTGTGACTTGAACTTACAATCAAAGTGATTTGCAAATGGAGAAACCAGGAGGGCATCACTGTTCACTTCAAAAATCTCTTTTGTTTTCACTTGCTGGTAGACTAGAGCTCTTTTGGTTTGGACTTTTTCACATTTATGATTATTTCATATTTTTCATATTTATTTCAGGCCTGTTTTTTTTTTCTTGCTTTTTTCTGGAAATTCTAATAAATAGGCATAAATGATATTTTGACCTTGTTCAAAGCGAGCAGGAGCCTTCAGTCTTTGACTTGTGTTTTTCCAAACTGGGGCAGGGATCAGATATTTCCCTGTGTTTGTTCAACATAGCTCCCAGAGACCTTGACTGGGGTCTCTGGTATTGTTATAAACAGAAACACAGTGGACCAAAATAAAGAGATTTGTGAATAGCAACATATATATTCCCGAAGATTAACTTGAGATATGATACTGCAACTAGGAATAAAGAAGATTGTTCCAGCTTAGCTAGGAGCTAGTCCAAAGAAACAGGACATCATTTAAAATAAGATTTTGAGAGAATGCTTCTATCTACTCTTTACTAAGCTGTAACACCCTGTGACACTTACCTAGAAAGCCACAATGCTCAGTGGAAGAAGGTTTTTGAGTAACAGGATTTGCCATCACTGAGTACAAGGGACAAGGGGATACTAATGTGACACCTGCTCAGAAGGGCAGCAGTGTTGGTAGCGTGGGGATATAGCCAGGAGAGCACCGAGCAGCACGATCACTGCTGCTCCAGGACTCCAGGAACACTGAAGAGCTGCTGCAGGCGAGCGGGCTACCATGGCCGGGGCTTCCACCCATGGCAGGTGCCTTGCTCCAGGATGTGGGAGCACCCACAAGATTCCTCTCATCACAGTCGAGCACAAAAGCAGTTTCTCATCACAGCCTGTGTGCAGCTGCACAAACAGAGTAAGCCCAGGAACTCAGTGGAAATCGCATGCCCCTTTTTGAGCCCCACAGAGAGGGACTCTCATGTCCAACGAGTTCCGAAAACCCTACATATCATCCCCAGGCTGCTCCAGGGCCACATCCCTACCTATCKTCATCAGCTCCAACCTGGGGCTCTCCCAAGCCACATCTGCATGTGGGCTGCCACTTAGCAAGATCTGCTCCACAGCATCCCCTACAGCCACTGCTCCACAAGCACCAGTGATCACAGATAAGTGGCCTGAGGGGGCCTGTAACAGCCATGATGAATAAAAATATAAACAAACTCCTTTGTGCGTTTCAGACAGGAGCAAAGTGTGGGAAAGATGCCCTATCACTTAGACTGCAAGCATTTATATTCGTTTTAACTCTGCCTTGCATTAGCCTTTTACTTTCTCCACCAGCAGCAATAACTAACAGTCCCTTCCCAGGGATGGAATCTTAGGGCACACCACCTTTTTTAGCACTATGTAAGCAGAGTTTTCTCCCAACTGCTGATTAACACCCATTTTTCTCTGGACTGCTGCAGAGATGGTACCAATAGCTCTGCACATTTGGAAGAGCTCCAATAACAAACAAAACACAGTAACTCCAGCATCCTGCTTCCCAGGAAATACACTGCAAGGAACAACTCTGAGGGTACAGGAGCTGTTGTTGAACAGGCAGCATGCTCAACAGCAGCTCTTAAATGGTCTGTTTATAAACAAAAGCACCAAGGTATTAGGGGAGCTGCAGTGCAAACCGTAAGGCAAGAGGGAGGAAAGCGCTTTAGGCAAAGGCATCACACACATGCAAAACAAACTGTTGTGTCAAGAGAAAAGAGCAGAGGACTGAAGCCTGTTACTACTGTCCAATTTCAGGAACTATATTGCTAAATATGCTCTGCAGGTATAACATGGGTTATCATAGAATCACAGAATATTCAAGGTTGGAAGGGACCTCTAGAGATCACCTAGTCCAACCCTCCTGCTCAAGTAGGCACACCTAGAGCACAGGGTGGCATCCAGGCGGGTTTTGAAGACCTCTAGAGAAGGAGACTCCACAACCTCCCCGAGCAGCCTGTTCCAGGGCTCTGTCACCCTCACAGTAAAGAAGTTCCTCCTCACCTGGAGACGGCACTTCCTGTGCTCCAGCTTGTGGCCATTACCCCTCATCCTATCGCTGGCCACCAATGAAAACAGCTTGTCCCCTTCCTCCCTTCATTCTCCCTTCCTGAACTTATACATATTAATCATATCCCCTCTCAGCCTTCTCTTCTCCAGGCTAAACAGTTATAGGTGCAATCAGACCAGAAAACATCTGGCAGAGACAGGAAGAGCACCCCACACCCTTAGCCAGAAAGGCTGCATGGTCCTATCTCACATAAATCCACACCCGTCCCGCGCTGGCTGTGAATTGGTGTGATTTCCCCACACAAACAGCATCCCCTGCCAAGCCAGGTACTGGCTACTACCTCACAGACAATTTATTTCTCTCCTGCCTCAGTCTCTCAAATCTTTCCCCATTGAGAGATACAAGTTTATCACAACTGGCTCCCCTAGTCAATTGTCTCCCTGATCTCTCTTGCCTTTTACCAGTCCGATACACTCTGCCAGAACCTCACAGTTCTTTCAGACTGCCTGTCCTAGGGACTGGATGACTGCGTTAAGTCCCACTAGCTCCATCTGCAAGTGACTTGCAAGAGGCCGGTTTCATCGGGGCTTCAGGAAGCCCAGGGCCCCAGCAGGGCTAGTGCCCCTCTCCTGCCTGCTCACACTCCACCCTTCCGCAGGAGATGCGTAAAAGCCTCCTCAGCAGGACCCAAAGCAGGATTTGTATTTTGTATTTATGGGCACCTATGGTGAACACATACCTGCTTCATGCTGGGAACTCCTTTTTGGGTTTTTTTGTTTTTTTTTTTTCCCCCCCAATTACCATTTAATAGTTTACACTAGTTTATTTTAGTAATGACTTCCTTCATTGTCTTTTTTCCTCTGCAGTAATCAGCAGTTCTCTCATTTCTTTTTCCTCTTATTTTTGCTRGGCTACAGCCACTCCTCTTTGGAATTACTGTATATATATCTAAAATCTTAAATAATTTTAAAGTTAAAAAAGTTTTATTTTTTCTGCTGACTTCACACATTCTGATTTGGATTTTTAAAAAAAAGGAAAGGCTCCCCCCTGCATTTCCACCCTGATCCCATGTTTCTTCTCAATAACTGCCTCAGCTCAGRACTAGGTAAAGTGACAAAAGTACAAATATCATTTGGGTAAATCGCAATATTTACAATGTAAGTATTCAGGTATAAAAAGTTTCTTTGAAAAGCACTGCTTATTGCTAGAACTTAATGCTAATATTTGCTTTCAGAAAAATTGAATCGCCACATTATTGTAGCTGAACATACCAATTTAGAAAGCAAACACTAGAAAGCAAGCAATATTAGAATTGCCAGGGTAAAATTACCTTGGGGCACATTTTCTAGCTTCGACATAATCCAAGTATAATTGCAGAAAAATCAGTCCAAATTAGTCAGTGTCATT